TCGAGGCAGAAACGGTCGGTCCCCTCATGCTTGCTCTTGTACTGACGTCTTGTGACTAGCCCAGAGGTCAGGCGGACAGAGCTACGACAGGTTCCCGAGATGGCCGAGACTAACCTGACCTTCCACGTCCCTCCGCCCTTCACGTTTGAGACCGACTTTAACGGCCCGGAGTTTCACCTGTGGTTCAGTAATGTCTGGAAAACAGGTGAGTGCAGACAACATATCTAAAGCCCCCCCCCTCCCCCTCTTCGCCGGAGAGTGTCAAAAGTTCAAGGCAGAGAGCTGCAGTATTATAGGGTTATTGAGTTCAGTGATACTTATGCACAGTGAAGAGTATACATTACGTCTTCCATGATTTACAGAAGAGAAGTCAAACCCCTCAGACATAGTTTTAGACATAGTTCTAGTTCTAGTTCTAGACAGCTACCTTCATCACGTAGACTTTAGTTATTTTATACTCTGTTTCAATGTTCTTTTATGTTTTGTAAATTGCAATTAGCCTCCGGGCACGGACTTGCAATAAACTTTCATATATTGTTTCGTACATGTTCCAATGCTAGACTTCATTAAATTTTACCCTCAACACGTTGCGTTACACGTGTAACAATCAGCTGACACTATATTATGAATTATCCGCATGATACCAGGATTCATATTTCCAAAACTATTCATAATATTTTCCCTTTAGTCACATTATGTTACATTTTTTTTTGTTTTTCCATCAAAAAAGGTCACATTTTTATATCTGTTAGTGTCGGTCCGTCCTATAGTCCGGTGGCAACCATGTGTCAAAAAGTTGTCGTTCTTGTGAAATCATTAACCAAATTGACCTTTACATGGTAGGATACGCAATCATCTACACGTAACACGTTCGGTCTTGTTGTGTTTACCGAAGGAAAACATATTGTTTTTGCTCTGTTTCCTCCTCTTCTTCTTCTCAAAACCAATAAGGTCAATGACCTGAACCAGACGTCTGCCATCATGGAAACTGGTGTTGGGTTACATCAAGTTGCAAGCGCCATGCAGAACTGAGTTGTTGCATGATCACCACATATATGAATTTGTTTGACTAAGAATAAAGAATAAACAAATCAGTAGTTTGTTTAGCTGGGCCATGTGAAGGTAAACATAATGCCTTTGCTTTGCTGCAAATGTAACCTTTCTAGTTATAATGTGATTTTTAAATAAGCCTTGAATGCGGAAAAATCGTGTTTATTTGTTTATTTCTTCATGACCTAATTCCTTGGTGGCTACGGTCAGTAGTGCCGATCAAAGATCTTTCCTGTTTTAGGGCGGTCAAAGTACATGGTTTAGGTAATGTTGACCCACGATAAATAAATGTGGCCGACTTCTACCTACTGGGCATGTGCGATGTAACGCAATCGAAAAGTAATCGCAACACCATATACTTGTTACATCACAACGTTGCAATTTGTCAATATACGTACATGTAGACTATTGAATACGTAATAGGGAGAACTGCAAGGTGGTAAAATGTTGACTCTATGTCACCAACTGTCACTGAGAAGATTCAGACTACGTATATGGGCACAGGAAAAACTATAGCATGACATCGTTTTGGAATACAATCCTATGATAGTAATGTAAGAAGGGCCGGCGTTCGTTTCAGTGTGAAGTCGTGAAATAAGAATATATTAGTCTCGAGCTTTACCGGTATACCAGGCTTCAGAGGTACTGGAAAGAGTGGAAATTTACCAAATAGATAACATGCCAGGTGAGTTGGTCCGCTAAAGGAGTGCAGTTCCGGAGGTTGCAGCACACTGCATGTACTCCTTTAGTGACCCAACTCCCCTGGCATGTTATTTGGTCAATTTCTACTCTTTTTAGCCGCCTCTGAAGCCTGGTAGAGGCTAAGAATATTATCAACATGACCCGTGCTGTCGGTATGTAGAATGAGCGTGCCGCTTGCAACTTTGGCATTTATTGCATCAGATCTTCCACGTGTTGAACGGAGAAAAGTAATGAACTTTAAAAAGTAATGAACTCTGCCTGTACATAATCTAGATATTTGTAATACCCACAAAGTTGACCCTGGCTATAGTCCTGTACCACGAAATTGACCCTGTATAAGAGGTTGACCACCAACCAGTGAGGTCATCAGATTAACGGATCGGAGGATTTAGCGTTAAGTTCATTTGTTTACTCACGAAAGATTAATATAACTTAGTGTAATCCCACGCAATATTGTACACGCATACCTCGTGAAACTCAAAATCTGACGCGCTTGTGAAAAAAAATGTAAAAAAATCCGTGTTGGCACTGGCGTTCTTGTATTAAAGATATATTATGTTAATGAATCCTTTTTTTTTTCTGATAAAGGTACGGCTTCATCAAACTAAACATTTTGATTTGCGTGGATTTCTTAAAGGAACTGTAAAGACTAATAATAGTGACATGGCGTTGAAATAATTGCAACGAACTTGCAGGATATGTGTTGGCCGCGGCCTACGTGGTGCTGGTGTGGGTCGGGCGGCGGTACATGGAGGAAAGGCCCGCCTACAACATGCGCTCTCTCCTGGCCATCTGGAGCGCCTGCCTCAGTGTCTTCAGGTAACTATGGTTGTATTCAAAAGCAAGTTCACACCAACGGACTAAAACAATTTCATACCAACGAACCAAAAACAATTTCATACCAACGAACATTAAAAATGATCATAAAGACGTTGTACACTGATATGCCTTGTAGAACACATGTCCGGACGAAAGATATAATACAGAATCTATTCCTCTTTTTTCTCAGCATTATGGGTGCCTTGCGTTTGAATGCGGTGTGGCTCCACGACTTCAGAGAGCGCGGCCTAACGCACAGCCTGTGTAACGGTCACTGGTTGACTGCCCCCATCTCAGGGTTCTGGGCTGTGGCCTTCACTCTCAGCAAAGTGAGGAACAACTCATCATTCGATTGAAATAAGAAGATCATGTATAAAAGATACTTTACCAAGTAAATATGATTAAGGTCATTAAGTAATAAAATATGTCAATTTATGCATTTATAACGTTACTGAACTGTAAGGAACGATTACCAACATGACACGTGCTGTCGGTATGTAGAATGGGCGTGCCGCTTGTAACTTTGGCATTTATTGCATCAGATCTTCCACGTGTTGATCGGAGAAAAATAATGAACTTTGAAAAGTAATGAACTTTGCCTGTACATAATCTAGATATTTGTAATACCCACAAAGTGAACCTGGTTATAGATCCTGTACCACGAAATTAACCCTGTATAAGTGCAAAGACGCTGACCGCCAACCAGTGAGGTCACCAGATTAACGGATCGGAGGTTTTAGCGTTAAGTTCCTTTGTTTACTCACGACTTATTAATGCATTTATAACGTTACTGAACTGTAACGAAAGATACCTGTGAAAACAGCGAGCGCTACCAGGTGTAGAAGTAATTAATGACTCACTCTGGAGTAGACTGAAACTAACCATATCCGTTACAACCTGAGCCAAGCGGAAACACACACACACAGACACACACAGACACACACAGACACACACACACACACAGACACACACACACACACACACACACACACACACACACACACACACACACTAC